CGAGTATTTCATTTCGTGTGAAATACTTCGGGAACTCTTGCAATGCATTCAATACATCCACGAATTGAAACCACCGGTCCTATGGCTGACATCTCAATGAATTGGGTTTTATAGTTACCATCACTTAAATTGTAGTCATCTATCAAATAATTATTAATAACTTTAAATAAGTAAAGTTTGAATAGTAAACTACCTTGTTCATTACAATGTTCTGAATTATCATTGATGCTTATGGAGGAACCCGACTGTTGTTGTGGTTCAATAATTTCACGTTTAGTAGAATTTGTCTGTTTGTCAATCACTAACAGAAATTAAATTATTTTATTATTTATAATAAAAGTGGACTAAAATTACTATTAATTGGTTTCCAATACCTTTGCTATGACTGGCCATCAGTTGTATTGGTTTGGCTTTAGTTTCATTTTTACCATTACTTGAATTATCACTGATTTCTTTCAAATTAATTGTATTATAAGTTATTTTGTATTCATTGGCGTAAAAGTTAATAAAAGTATTATAATTTGTTTCAATTATTGTGTTTTCTTTTGATATTTTATATATTTTATCGTTTATTAAAACACAAATGAATTGATTATCTTTCCAATTAATCCATGAATTAATTTGTCCTAATTTTTGGAAGTGATGTTCAGATAGTATTCGTTTCGGAATTTTTATATTAATTTGTTTACTATTATCATAATATTCTCCACAAAAATATAAACCATTTGTTGTCAGAAAATATGTCCCAAAAGAACGACAACTAATTGTTTTCACACTATTTATGTTTGATATGAATCGGGGTTTCAATACTTCATCTGTTATATTGAGAGAATGGTTTGGTTATAAAAACCATACAATATTTGCATATAATGTGACTTCAATTATTACATTGCTGTACATTCGCCGTCACATTTAGGGTTGCCAACTGGTCAAGGTTTGCCTTGATTTGCAAGGTGAGAGGGTTCTGGTCAAGGTGAAAGGCGAGGGTCTCACCTTGACATAGACAGGTCAAGGTGAGAGCAAGTGTAATTACCGTATGTCTATTTCAGGTATTTATTGTAATGAACACACTATTTAAAACCCAGAATAATATTTATTGCCTATTTCTATAATAGCAAAACAAATCCTTTATTAAAAACCCATCATAATAAAGATCTTTGTCTTCAAAAAGCCCGTATCTTATATGGAAAATACATTGTATTATAATAAAATTAAATTATATTAAAACTTAAATTTACATTTTTCTCATATTTCAAAAATATTTATAATCAAATATGTAATAATAATGGTGGTCAAGGTTTGGTCAAGGTGAATTTAGAAAATTTTTGTAATTTTCAAGGCGGTAGTCGATCAGAGTTGGCAACACTAGTCACATTACATAACAACTTCTGTATTGTTTTGTACCGTTTTTAAAACCAAACCATACTCTCTGTCCTAATTGATGGCATCTATTGTTACCCCAACTGAAGACATGTCCATCACATGTGATGACAAATGAAGAGTAATCACAACAATAAATGGATTGTATTTTATAATTATTATTGAATTGTATTTCAATCGGTGTATAAATATCTTCATAATTTCCACAACCAATTTGTCCCCAATTATTCGCACCCCAGGCATAGACCCGACCATCACTTGTGAGGGCCAGAGTGTGATGAGAACCACAACTGATTTGTTCGATGTTTTTATTATTAAAATATGATATAATCTCCGGGTTATAAACACTTTGTATTTCATTATTAGTTATTCTATTTCGGGCCAATTGTCCATGGTTATTACTCCCAAACCCATATATTATTTTAATATCATTCACTGCTAACACAAAATTAAATCCATTGACAAAGTATTGTATGTTTTGATGACATAATTGTGGTATTATTTCTGGTGATAGTATAGGACTCTTGTGTCCAAAACCGAGACTTCCATTACTATTATGACCCAAACCATAGACCATATCATCGTTTGTCACAAATAATACATTATATTCTTTATTCCAATCATTAAAAACATGTATTTTTGTAATATTTTGTTTAATATTTATCGGGATTTTATGACAAACTGAAAACTTGTCAATAAATTCACACATTTTAACAAATATTTAAATACAATTACAAAACATATTAAATATATTATTATTTATAACGAAGAAATGCAAAGAAATAAATGGTTTTATTGCTATAATCAGTGAAAACTATTGGAGACAAGGATTTAATAACAAAGTATTTCATACAATATATGATAATAACTATAGTTTAGACAGTATTTCACAATACATGCCGTCACTCAGTGTTTCTGTCATCTGATTAGCATTCATTCAAATATAAAACAAGTATTTTATTATTAATTGAATGAAAAATTACATTAATTTTTAATTAAACATTAATTTAATACAAAAACCAATTATAAATTTTTTTAAATATTTGTAAAAATAAATCTCATTTTCGTGTTAACTATAAATTTATAAATTATAAGTTTTTCGCTTTTAATTATTTTAATACTTCGACTGTTATATTAATTCTATTGCCGCCCAATGTTTGGCAAATGCGGTCATTAATAATACAATTAAAACTTTTAATCAATTAATTAGATTATAAATATTATAAATGTAGTTATAATGCGTTAATTGAACGATATATTAATGTATAAAATGTATGTGAATTGAGTGCACAATAATATAGTATTTACACGTAATCTCTTAGAATGTAATAGAAATGACTTTCTTAAGCACCGGTAGCTGTGAAACAGCGGCCAAACCAACCGTCTGTACGGCACCGACACCTATGGGTCGGCCTCTGTCTGGGCCTCGAAGTAGTCCTTCGCTTCATTCCAGCGGTTCTTCTGAAACCTCTTCGCAAACGTCAGGCGCTGTTCGGCTGTAAAACACAAAACTTATTATAACCTCAAAAAACACTACAAAAGGCATACCGAGAGAGTTGGCCGGCCGTCGGACTCCGGCCGACACGTGACTGTCGACCGCCCGGAGCTGAAGGCCAATGATTGTGGACTCGATGAACGTCGAGAGCATTAGAGTTGACATCTCTTTCTCCAAAACCGTCCGGTTTTGCGGGTTTTGAAAACAACAGGCGATTAGCGTCGGGAACAACACCCGAGACAGTCGATCGTCGCTGAAGTACTCAATGGGCAGCGAACACAACTGCTGGACGACAGTCGGCCGTTGGCCCGACTCTAATAGTGCCTGCAATCAAACCAACAATAAGTTTAATAATCCACGAAATGGACAGTTAGCCCAAGAAGTACCTGATTCTCGTCGTTGAGGACAACAAAGTTTCCAACCAATAGAATCGCTTCGTTGAGCAGCGCTTCCCTCTTATGGTGAGTGCAATACCAGAGAAGGTATGAACAGATGTGCCGGAGCTGTAGTAACAGCCCTTCGCCGCCCAAAACACACTATAAAACAACAAACAAAATAATTAACAAATTATCCGCAGATTGTCGATCAAATCGATTGACAGCACAGTAGTCTCCCAAAAACAAGACGTGAATCCTGTAAATTCCTGTCCCGTCCCATTCCTGTACAGGATTGGGACGGGACAGGAAAAGATTTTCCCTATGCTTACAGGAATGGGACGGGACAGGAATGGATAAGACAGGAAAATACAGGAAAGTGCAATAAAATATTTTTTGAAAATTAATTTCAGTATTTGCAAGTACTGTATGATATGGTATATGTAGAATACAAAGGGATCCGACTGTACGGCGCCTACGAGAGCGTATGAGACTCACAATAAAGCCTTGTTTGAGCCAAACGATAGGCGCCAATGAATATTAGAAGCCTTTATATATGCCGACAGGATTTACAGAAAATTACAGGACAGGACAGGACGGGACAAGAAAATATTTTGACATTTAGTACAGAATCGGGACGGGACGGGAATAGATATCTTCAGGACAGGACGGGACAGGAATGTGTTTTAGCTAACATTTGGAGCACTACAGCACAGCACAGGTCACACATACCTGAACCACATTCAGATCCAATAGCGACACGTAATTCAAAAGTCTGATCACTTCGAGAGTCAGATCCAGCGTATGGTCGGCCGCAGGTGGGGGTCGATCGCCGTCAGCCCTTTGAGGCGCACCCGAGTGGAGGAGCACTCCGTAAATGAGGGACACAACACCGCCGATGTGTGTCCTCTGAAACGTGAGCATCAGTTGTGTCTCGTCGTCGGCGAGACGGGCGCCAAACCTCTCCTCCACTCGAAGTGCCATCAGTTTAGAGAGTGAGCTGAAGAGGGAGACAACACTACGCAGGCATTGTGTCAGCTCCGGGTGGTCGTCGACGGAGCCCCGAGTGTTGGCCATCATTAACGACAACTTATCAATCATTCCGACCGATACTATATAACTATTGACATAAAGTTAACCATTAATTGGTCTAAAACGCGGATCCAATCATCAAATACATGATTAAGTACTGAATGATGTGATTGAAGGCCAGACTATCGTCGGTACTGTCGGCGAGCGTCGAGTAGTGGCCGTGAAGTGTATTAAAAATGGTGGACAGGAGTCGACACAGGGCTCCGACCACTATAACGCACGTCAAGGCTGTGGTTCCCTCACCACTGGTACTCATGAGAGTCGTGTCCAATAGCTATGTATTAAAACAAATTGTAAATACAAAACTAAAAGACAAACAATCGGGCCATACATTGATCCGATGGCACAGAATGTCCAACAAATCGATCACGTGTTGTGATTGCAGGACATAGTCGGCCACATCCAAGTGCTGACCGCAGACCAGTTCGTAAAGTGCGGCCAACTTAGCGTTGGACCGGTCGGTGAGTGATGTGGGCCTCTCTCGGGTGCCGTTCATTATTCGGGACAACATTTTGGTCAACAATTGGTCGCCATTTAGCGAATGAAAGAACAGGGAATCGGCGGCACCGGTGCCACCACTAGACGGACGGCCACTACTGTTGTTACGGAACAGTTTCTCCAACTCATTGAAATTGCGTTCCAAACTGTGAGTCATGTTTGTCGGCCAGTGGCCAGTGATTTGGGTGTCGGCGCTCAGCGCTGACAAGTCATGCGAAACAATACAAAATCATACAATGAATGGCCGAACACAAGACCAGAACCCAAACCGCTATCGACATCAATACTGAATTTTAACATAAAACATAATTAGTTATAATATGAGTCATATATGTTTTGCCATTACTCCACCTGCACTCCAATTTGAGAACAAAAATGTTACATTAAATTAATTAATTAAATCACAATTTTAATTACAAACTCACCATATGTGGTCATTCAAAATTAATTAGCAACGCCATTATTTTTCACTAAAATTTCCTGATAAATAAGCATAAATACGGTGTATCAACAATTAACTAAAAAATGAACAAACTGATAATAATGGTGATTGTGATGGCGGTAGTGTTGACAATGATGCCTGGTCATTCACCACGGGCTGTCCCGGATTTGACCGACCGAGAACGCGAGCGCATGGAAAAGTCGTGCAATTCGATGAAACCCAACCGCTGTGAAGATCGAAATCCACTCCAACGTTGTGTACCCCTAATGGATGGTAAGGATTATACCGGTGTAGAATGCGTCGATTAATAATGTCAACTGGGTACAATATCACAATCAAGGCAGCACTGGCACATTTTAATGTTGATGTTAATAATTATTTTTAATATTCTAAATTCTAACTATTTAATTCCAAAAATTGTTACTTGCTCTTGATTGATTGTATTTTACTGATTATATGACAATAAATTTAAATATGCATATAATTTATATTTTGATTACATTATTCTATGCATTTTTAACCACTATTCTGATATGACTAATGTAATTTATAAAATCGTTCGTCCCCTCTCCCCCCGGCCGCCCCACCCTATGGGATTTAACATGGGATTACAGCTTAAGTCTATGGCTATACTTTAACATAAAAAAGCTCTCATAGGATTAACATGGGGAAGCTTTAACGTGGGTTTCTATGGGATTACAACTTAAGTATATGACATAGGGATAACATGAATAATGCTGAGTCTATGGCATAAAAATAACATGGGCAATGCTAAGTCTATGACATAGGGATAACATGGGCAATGCTAAGTCTATGACATAGGGATAAAATGGGCAATGCTAAGTCTATGGCATAGCGATAACATGGGCAATGCTAAGTCTATGGACAATGCTACACCATCATTGTCCATAGCCATCCACACCATCAGCCGTATTGCGCGCAAATTATAATGTAATATTATCAGTGTCGATAACCAACATACAATATTGTTATGAAATGGTTCTTTTTTGGGCCATATATCATAACTGAAACGGGAGTTCTCTGTGAGAGGGAGAGCTCCCGGTGTGACCGACGAGTGGAGCACACACTTAAAGGTCGACCGAACGGTGTTCCCGTTAGGGACCACCGCGCGGTCCTTACAAATATCAGTGGCGGGCGACGGGACGGTCATAGACCTGGACAGACCTCTGGAGTTGTTGACCTCCTAAAGGCATTGACTGCGAGACCATTCCTTTCGGATTTTGCTGGTCGTACAGACGTCCCTATCTCCGGAGTGATCCATTGGTCTGTCGTTGGTCGGTGACCGTAGAGAGAAATGGTATGGCGGATGGGTTGTGGCGGATGTCAGTATGCTTACACACCTAGATGGCAGCAGTTGGTAAATGGCGGTCAGGTCTGCGGATGCCGGGAACGTCTGCGGATGCCGAGAGCGTCTGCGGATGCCGGGAGAGTCTGCGGATGCCGAGAGCGTCTGCGAATGCCGGGAACGTCTGCAAAAGCCGGGAGCGTCTGCGGATGCCGCGAACGTCTGCGGATGCCGGGAGAGTCTGCGGATGCCGAGAGCGTCTGCTGAAGCCAGGAGCGTCGGCACAGGTCAGGAACGTCGGGTCGCGATGCGGATATTAACCAATATGGCGACTCTTTGTTACAGGTATGTGGACGTCAACCAATATGGCGACAGCACGTGACAGCAGGGCAGAACGTCAGAGAGATGTCGGCAACACGTGACAGCTGTGTGAACGTCAGAGAGATGGCGCCAACACGTGACAGCAGTGCAGACGTCAGAGAGATGTCGGCAACACGTGACAGCTGTGCGGACGTCAGAGAGATGGCGGCAACACGTGACAGCAGTGCGGACGTCAGCCAAGATGGCGAACCACGTGATAGCAGTGTCGGACGTCAGAAAAGATGGCGACAACCACGTGACCAGAGAACAAAACGTCACTCAGTATCGGTAAGGGGTCCACAGGTGTACGTCGGGGTTACAGGTGAGTGTCAACTGAAGGGGTCGTCAAAGGAGTGTCCAGGAGTATCGCCAAGAGTGTCAAAGGAGGAATGCCAAAAGTGCCAAGGAAGTCGTCCAGGGGTCGCCACTGATATAAGGAATTGAGTATTCTTATGTCAATCAAATAAGTAAACTTTATTGAATGTTTTTAGTGCTCTGAGAACTCAATTAACTTTTCAATACAGAGTCATGCAGTATTTATACCTAAATTTGTGGCGGACTTTGTGCACACATCCTGTGTCACATCAGATATGTGTTTCCGTCTGTCACAAATTTGTGCACAATTTACATTTTTTGTTTTATAATTTTGTCAATTATGTGTTTTTTCCCGTTAATTATCTGTTAAATGTGGTTTTGTCTAGTTTTAATCTTTTTGTTTTTGTCTATTTTGTATTTTTGTGTAATGTTTATCTGTTTTTGTAAGTGTTTTTAACTGTCATTAAATGTCATTTTGTGTCTGTCTTATCTCCCTTTTCAGTTCATTTGTACTTTTATATGTGTTTTGTAAGCGTTTTTGTGTAACATATGGTAAGTTAATGTATTGTTTTATATGTAATTATTGTCTTTTGTGTTAATTCTAAATTAATTATTTATGTTTTTCTGTTTGTTTAGAGGTGTTGGGTTGGACTGGGGTACGGGTTTGGCTCTCTGGCCATCATTAATCCGCAAAATAGGCATAACATTATGTATCCACTATTATAAACACTATGTTATGCCTATGGGTACGCCTGCGGGTGCTGGCGCCCCCTTCTACTCTGGCCCACTGACCACCACTACACATCAAAATGTGTGCCAACAGCCACACAACACAGCACACCCCGTGCGCCGCTCGGGCCGTCAGCCGTTTACCCATTATTAATGTGTTAAGTGTTGTGGTATGAGTTAAACGCGGCGGTCGCCGCCCACAGGCCGGCCGGTCGCCGAGCGGGTGTGCATGTGCCTGGCGGCCACCATCATCACCCAGCACACCCCGTGAACCACCAAAACCTCGTGGCCTCGGCATATCGGGACACTGGCAGAGGCCCGTGTCTCTAATGTATGAGGTATGCATATACGTAGCATACCTTATACCATAATATTCAATTTGTAATTTTATTTATACAATATAAATCATTTAATAATTGAATTTGATAACAATGTTATTAGCTATTATAGCGTTGGGAATTAACAGGTTAATTAGGTCTCATAATCCTAGGCCTATTCAAATTAAAAATAGGATTTCTAAGTATTATTGTAAACAGCATTCGATTGTTATTATTATATATGCGAGTAATTGAGTTAATCATAGTTTGGCATTTATTACATATCATTGGCTTATATTTTATGAACAATTGTGTGAATAGTTTAGTGAACATAAGGATTGATGCGCCAAACCATATGCCCAGCAGTGATCCCATGAACATTACGTACTCCTCCCACGATATTTTGAGTGATATCTCGTACACAATATCGGGTTCTGACGGTAGGAATACTTGTAATAAATAATCAGAACCCGAATACCTATTATCTTCTTTATACTTAATAGAATAGTAGTGTTGTATACACTCTATTCGGTCACTGCATTCGCCCTCGCAATTACTTTTTAATGTATTAATTTTTCTATTGGGCATCAAATATGCTGATTGATTATTTTTAATGTCATCTTGGTAGGCCAAGTAATAACCTGGAAATTCGTTATATCGTTGCAGACACTCTCTTATTATGCATTCATTAATGCAATCATCTTGATCTTTATTTACAAAGCATTTATGTGTGTTGTGCTCATAACGTTTATCTACCATGGTGGTTTTCCGATAATTTATAATATATCCACCGCTAGTGTTAACATTTATATCGATGTAATTTTTTTGGTAAAAATATCTAACTTTTTCAGTTGGATAATGTAGTCGAACACTAATATCTATACCCGAAACTAGAGTTTTATTTAACCACAACGTTATGTATGCATTTGATTGTTGTCGTTCTTTTTTCACCCTGTACGTATGTTTTGGTTCGGCCGACCATCTGCTAAATATGGTCCAACAAAATGTGCCAGACCAAATTGAAACGCGATACTTACTTACTTTATAACAAGCCCTCTCACGTATAACAGATTGAGTATTAGTCGTGGTATAAAAGCAATCAAACAGTTGGTCATACGGAGGGATTGATGCGAATTGAAGGGCCAGGCTCTAAAATATATTAAAATATTAAAAATGATTTAATCTAATGTGTATTAATTTACAAATACCTCGGTTAGATTTGGTTGTGTTAAACCTGTGGATGGCATGCAGACTGTAATCGCCGGTAATTTGTACCGACCGTCAGAATCGAGCCTTACGTTTGCTGTGGTCTCGTATGTAAAGTATATTAAACTAATATTAATGGTTTGGTATAGAAATCCAACCAAGCACATAGATATTAAAATCAAATTCGTAATTTGAATATTGGTTAACATTATAAAAGAGATTCTAATAATGAAAGAATTAATATATGAAATATATTTTTATTAAAATATTACACTTCTAGTTGAAATAAAATTTACATTATAATATATATATTAGTTTATTATTAATACACCTATTATATAAACATTGCAATCATATTGTTATAGATTGGATATTTTAATTTTGTCCATGTACACATAATTTTGTAATAAGTTATTACTAATAACATAAAAATAATTTGCAATCGTCTATTTACATTTCAAAAAACAAATTTAATACAATAG